CGTCCCCATCCCTTGTTGGGTGTTCAGTTTTGATGCTGCACCTGTACCATACCTTGTAGGGGTTGTTATGTTGTTGCGCACATGATACCATCCTTGTAGTGGTGTGTTCAGTGTTGTTGCTCACTATGATCCATATTGTAGGGGTGTGTTCAGGTTGTTGCTGCACTATGATACCATACCTTGAGTGGTGTGTCGTGTTGTTGCTCACTACTGATACCATCTTTAGTGGTGTTCAGTGTTGTGCGCATACTGTACCATACCTTGTAGTGGTTGTTCGTTTTGATGCGGCATACTGAACCTACCTTGTAGTGGTGTGTTCAGTGTTGTTGCTGCACTACTGATACCATACCTTGTAGTGGTGTGTTCAGTGTTGATGCTGCACTACTGATACCATACCTTGTAGTGGTGTGTTCAGTGTTGATGCTGCACACGATCCATACCTTGTAGGGTGGGGGTTAGTTTTGGCGCACACTGATACCTACTTGTGTGGTGTGTTCATGTTGATGCTGCATACTATACCATACCTTGTGTGGTGTGTTCAGTTTTTTTTTGCTGCATACTTACCCATCCCTTTAGTGGTGTTTTCAGTGTTGATGCTGATACGTTACCATACTTGTATGGTGTGTTCAGTTTTTGTGCGCATACTATCCCATCCCTTGTAGTGGTGTGTTCATGTTGTGCTGCACTATGATACCATCCCTTTGTGGGGTTCGGGCGCCCGCCAATTTAGGGGGTTCGGGTTTTGGGCGCATACTGTTTACCATCCCTTTGTAGGGGTGTTTTCAGTGTTTTTGGCATACTGATACCAACCTTGTAGGGGTGTGTTCAGGTTTTGCTGCATACTGATACCATACTTGTAGTGGTGTTTTCATGTTGATGCTGCATACTGTACCAACCTTGTGTGGTGTGTTCAGTGTTGTTGCTGCAATGATCCCTTTCCTTTGTAGGGGGTTGTTTCGTTTTGTGCGCCTACGTTTACCTCCTTGTAGTGGTGTTTAGTTTTGGCTGACAATGATACCATCCCTTTAGTGGGTGTTCAGTTGATGCTGCATACGATCCTTTCCTTGTAGGGTGTGTTCGGTTGTGCCACTATGTACCATCCCTTTGTAGTGGTGTGTTCAGTGTTGTGTGCACTACTGATACCATCCCTTGTAGGGGTGTGTTAATGTTTGCTGCCTACGAAACCTACTTGTAGTGGGTGCATTTTTTGTTGCTGCATATGATACATACCTGTAGTGGTTTTGTTCAGTGTTGAATGCTGCACTACTGTCCCTCCCTTGAGTGGGTGTTCAGTGTTGTGCTGCATACTAACCCAAACCCCTTTGGTGGTGTGTTCATGTTGTTGCTGCATCTGAACCATCCCTTTGTAGTGGTGTGTTCAGTGTTGTTGCTGCACTTGTCCCATACTTGTAGGGGTTGTGTTCAGGTTGTTGGCCAAATGATCCCATACCTTTAGGGGTGTTTTCAGGGGTTGTTGCTCCCCTACGATACCATACCTTGTGTGTTTGTTCAGTGTTGTGCTGCACTACTGTCCCTCCCTTTGGGTAGTTGGGGTCAGTTTTGTTGCTGCACTCTGATACCATCCTTTGGTGTTGTTTCAGTGTTGTTGCTGCCTAGATACCATACCTTTAGGGGTGTGTTCAGTGTTGTTGCTGCACTATAAACCAAACCTTGTAGTGGGGTTCGTGTTGTTGCTGACTCGATCCCATACCTTGTAGTTTGTGTTCAGTTTTGATGCTGCACTACTGATACCAAACCTTTGTAGTGGTGTGTTCAGTGTTGGCGCACTACGATACCATTTTTGTAGTGGTGTGTTCGTGTTGAGCGCCTACTGATCCATCCCTTTGTAGTGTGTGTTCAGTGTTGAGCTGCATACTGTACCATACCTTTTTGTTTGTTCAGTGTTGTGTGCACTACTGTTTACCATACCTTTTGGGGTGTGTTCAGTTTTGTGCTGCACTACTGATACCATACCTTGTAGTGTTTTTTCAGTGTTGATGCTGCACTATGATCCCATACCTTGAGGGTGGTTTTCAGTGTTGATGTGCACTATGATACCTACCTTGTTTTTTGTTTTGTGCGCATTGCCCCGGGGGGCGGGATGCTGCATACTGATCCCATACCTTGGTGGTGTTTCAGTGTTGATGCGCACTATGATACCATAGAGGGTGTTCAGTGTTGTGCTGCACTACTGATACCTCCCTTGTATGGTGTGTTCAGTGTTGATGCTGCATACTGATACCATCCCTTGTAGTTTGGTTCTGTTGAGCTGCACTAGATCCCATCCCTTTGTAGTGGGGTGTTCAGTGTTGATGCGACTATGATACATACCTTGTGTGTTGTGTTCGTTTTTGATCTGCACTACTGTCCCAAACCCTTGGGGGTTTCAGTGGGGTGAAACTAATGATACCTACCGAGGGGTGTTCGTGTTGATGCTGCACTACGTTTCCCATATTGTAGTGTTTTTTCAGTGTTGATGCTCCCTACTGATCCCATACCTTGTAGGGGTGTGTTCAGTGTTATGCTGCATACTGATACCATACCTTTTTGGGTTGGTTCGGGTTTTGATGGGCCTCTGCCCCCTACCTTGAGTGGTGTGTTCAGTTTGATGTGCACTATGATCCCAAACCCTTTTGTAGTGGTGTGTTCATGTTGATGCGCCTACTGAACATCCTTGTAGTGGTGTGTTCAGTGTTGATGCTGCATACTGATAAAAAATCCCCTTGTAGTGGGGGTTTTAGTTTTGTTGCTGCATTTCTGATCCCTCCCTTTAGTGGGTGTTAGTGTTGATGCTGCATACTGATCCATCCCTTTAGGGGTGTGTTCAGTGTTGAGCTGACTACTGTCCTACCTTGATGGTGTGTTCGTTTGATGCTGAAATCTGATACCATCCCTTGTAGTGGTGTTTCAGTTTGATGCTGCACTACTGTTTTACCATCCTTGTTGGTTTTTTCAGTGTTGTTGCTGCACAAATGATACCATACCTTGTAGTGGTGTGTTTTTTTGTGCATACGTCCCCTTGTAGGTTGTGTTCATTTGGGTTGCGCACTACGATACCTTTCCTTGTGTGTTTTTTCATTTTTTTGATGTGCCCCCTATCCCATCCCTTTGTAGTGGTGTTTTTCAGTTGATGTGCACAAACGATCCATACCTTTGGTTGTTTTCGTGTTGTTGCTCACTCTGATAATCCCTTTGTAGTGGTTTTGTTTCAGTGTTGATGCTGCATACTGATCCCTACCTTGTAGTGGTTTTAGTGTTGATGCTGCACTATGATACCATACCTTGTAGTGGTGTTTTCAGTGTTGATGCTGCCTACTGATACATACCTTGTATGGTGTGTTTCAGTTTTGAGCTGCACAACTGAACCTCCCTTTGTAGTGGTGTTTCATTTTGATCTGCCTACTGATACCATCCCTTTGTAGTGGTGGTCAGTTTTGATGCACTAGATCCCTCCCTTGTAGTGGTGTTTTCAGTGTTGATCTGCACTATGATACAATCCTTTAGTGGTGTGTTCGTGTTGATGTGCCTACGAAAAATCCCTTGTAGTGGTGTGTTCAGTTTGATGCTGCACTAATTTTCCCCTCCCTGTAGGGGTGTTCATGTTGTTGCTGCATATAAACCCATACCTTGTGTGGTGTGTTCAGTTTTTATCTGCACTCTGATACAATCCCGGGGAGGGGTGTGTTCATGTTGTTGTGCAACATAATACCTTGTAGGGTTTTGGTTCATGTTTGATGTGCACAAAGATCCCTCCCTTGTAGTGGGTGTTCAGTTTTGATGCTGCATACGAAACCAATTTTGTAGTGGGGGTTTTTTCGGTTGTTGCTGCCTCGTCCATACCTTGTAGGGGGTGTGTCAGTGTTTGCTGCACTATGTCCCATACCTTGTAGTGGTTGTTCGGTTGTTGCTGATATGAACCATCCCTTGTAGTTTTGGGTTTTCAGTGTTGTTGCGCACTACTGATACAGACCTTGTAGTGGTGTGTTCAGTTTTTTGTGCACTATTTACTCCTTTTTCCAAAATATAACAAAATGAATAAACTTTTTTTTGTCCGGGTTTTTTAAATTTTATTGTGTTTTTTTTTTATTTTTATTAATTTTTAAAGTATTATTTTTTATATTATGGAAAAAAAACACTGAGGTCGTTAAGGGTTTGCAACCCCGCCGGGGAATGGAGTAACGGTTTGATGCGAAAAAGGGGGGTTTAGTTCCATTCCTTTGAAAATTAACGTTTCCCCCACGTAAAGGGAACCCCCCTGCAAGCTGTTTTTTGTTTGGGTAAAGGGATTTGGTATTCCAGTATTCCCTTTTTTGAAACACTTGTTAGTGTACGACTTTGAACAATTACCTCCACTACATGTGGCGGCTCTTCGTTAGACAAGGGTAAAAACAAGCATTTACTGCAAAACTCTGTAGTTCCCATCGGGGACGAACCTATCTTGCGTTGAGTTACATGTTTGTGGCATCAACCCTGCCCCATATACCTAATAAAAAAGTTCACCCCGAGTGTACCGTATTAATTACACACACACCATGGAGCAGGAAGAGTGACCTAGTAGCGACCAGTGAAGAGGCGGGGCCAGATGTGACTCGACCCCTGCAACCACAACTAGGTGAATACACACACACACACACCTAGTGGGCCTAGTAGCGACTAGCGAAGAGGCGGGGTCTGGAGCTGTGAATCGACCCCTGCAACCACAATTAGGGGAGTACAAATAGGTGAGTACGCACACACGTTAGTGCATTTACTACTTAAGAATCCAACATGTGTAGTTACCACTTGATAAGTCAACATGTGAGAGTAGTTACCACTTGATAAATCAACATGTGAGCGGAGTTACCACTTGATAAACCAACATGTGAACGTAGTTACCATTTGATAAACCAACATGTGAGCGGAGTTACTACTTGATAAACCAACATGTGAGCGGAGTTACCACTTGATAAACCAACATGTGCGCAGAGTTACCACCTGGGTAAATAGGTGATCGAACTTACCTCTTCACGCTGTGAATGTTGCTGCTGTAGACGCTGCACCTCCTCCGCCAGGCGGTTCTTCATCTCTGCCAAGCAAGGTGTATCAAAACATACCACTTAAAACACAATTTATCCTCCCTTCAACTACCTTAATGTCCTTTCTAGGTTCCCAACGTCACTTTTGCAACGTTTCCTGTAAACTTGAGTGATAGAAAAACTACTACTACTACCGCTCCTACTACTACCATTCCCCTCCCTACCGTATTGTCTTCAGGCCTTCTCTACCCAGTTGTGACTTGACAATGGCACCGTATTACTGGTGAATCATTAAGGCATATTTGACGTATATTTAACCGCAAATGAAGACAAGGAGGTGAAGGACTATAACCAGGACACGTTCAAAACCGGTGGAAGTCACACACAGCACCATGGGAAAGGGAGGTAATCAGATTGGATCCAAGGAAAAGGAGCGTAGTGCCATTTCCTTGGATCAAGGCACCTACCAGATGCAAAGTGAACCCCAGAATGCATCGTGAAGAATTATTGAAATTGTTGATTTTGTTATTAAAACTGTTGATTTGGTTACTGCGAGGAAGAGTGACTCTCCCAGGTGATTCCTTCATAAAAAAAACACTGGATGACTTACTCAAGTGACTGAATGACTCAGTAACCGAATCATTCACTGACTGAACCTCGCGATTACTCGATGACTGAATTATACAATGACTAACCCAATTACTGACTGACTTATTCAATGACCAACTCACTGACTGAATCATTCAGTGACTGACTCACTGACTGAATCATTCAGTGGCTGACTCACTGACTGAATCATTCAGTGATTAACTCACCGACTGAATCATTCAGTAGCTGACTCACTGACTGAATCATTCAGTCAATCACTCACTGAGACCTCGCTGACTGCATCACTTAGTAGCTGACTCAATGACTGAATCATTCAGTGACTGACTCAGCGACTGCCTTACTGACTGGCTCGCTGATTAAATCAATGACTGAGTCTGACTCACAATTTCACCCACCAACCCAGCTGATTCAGCAGTCAGATCAACTGCTGATCGCACTTCTAAACTGACTACACCTCTTTACTATTGTATTACGAGGACAAAATAAAGTACAGAGAAACAGAGGACATATATCTGGAGTGAGGACATCAGAGGACACATCATAGAAATATGAGAACACAGAGGCCATAGAACTGGAACATGAGTACAGAATAAAGAATGTGCGGACACAGGAAGACACAATAGAAAATATGCGGACACATACGACAAAATAAGAGTATTAAGACACAAGAGGAGAGAATAAAAGGGGATACACACCGAGGGCACAGAACGGGAGTACGAAGACTCAGGGGGTACACACCGAGGGCACAGAACGGGAGTACGAAGACTCAGGGGATACACACCGAGGGCACAGAACGGGAGTACGAAGACTCAGGGGATACACACCGAGGGCACAGAACGGGAGTACGAAGACTTAGGGGATACAGAATCGGAGTATCACAACTCCAGACACTAAGACACCACAACACAGAGTAGACACACGTAAACTATGGTAAGAGTAACAGCATTAACAACAGCATCAACAGCAACAGCATAAGAGGAGAGATAAACAGCAGTAAACCTACCAATGACAGGAGCGATGGCAGCGTAGTTCTCGGTGAGTTCGCGTAGCTTGCTGTTGAAGTTTTTGAGGAAGTTGTGAGCGTAGAAGAGCTGGCGTCCCAGGTGGTCTCTCTCCTCCTTCATTATGTTATAATCTTCCTTCAGATTCTCCTCCCGCAGCATCACTATCCCCATCAT